GCGTACCGATAAAATCGGTACCGAAGCGGCCTTTCATCCGCTCTCTGAATACATGAAATTCGTGGCCGACTATTACGACCGCTTGGATCTCTTCAATGAACGCAATAAAATTGTATTATAATTGACATCCGTTTTAGTCGTCAATTTGAATTCATTATGAGATGTATTTTGTGTTGAATTTGCAGAACAAAAAAGCCGAACGTTTGGTGTATTTAGCGACCGATGACTCCTCGTTGTGGACCAAAGAAGTGAAAGAGTTTGAAGACAAGGGCTATGTATTCATTGGCGACTCACAGATCTGTTAGTATTGTTTGCAAATAATGATTTGTATCGCAATTATAATGCGAGCATATGTTGTATTTTAGCGCAAACAGCGAGTATTGGTCGCCGGTATTCAATTGATTCGTTACGAAATATAATACTAGACATATGGCTGTTAAGCGAATCAGATTTTCTGGTTTGCACTTTCAGTTCGCAAGTGTGTCGTCTGGCGTACGAACTCATGCAAAACAGAACTGATCTCAAAACAGACAAATCCAACGCTTTCTATTCGTTGGACGACATCTATTACTTCGGAGGTCAGAGCGATCACAACCAGATCGCGGTCTTAAGTCACAAACCAAACAATAAACAAGAGATTGATCTTAGAATTGGAGACATAATCGGTATGTCTTTACGCTTTATATCTTTTCAAAGGAGTCAATATTTATAACAATATTTTGTTTGTTAGGAACGGCTGGAAACCACTGGAACGGTATTTCTCATATTCGCAATCATTTTATACATTGTTTACTAAATCTATTTATTTGGTCATAGGTTTCAGCAAAGGTTTAAATCGAGATACAAAACAAAGCGGTTTATATCCAGGCTTTAAGACCATCGAGAAGATAGAAACCGCAAACTTCAAGCTCTTTGAACCCAATTAACGAGATTTTAGTTTTTGTTTTTTTAAATTTTGTTGTTAACATTTAAATTATAATAAAAAATCATCCAAAAAGGTATTTCCAAATTAATGTGTTCAATGAAAAGTGTGCCACAAATTGTCACAATTCTCGGGAGCAGTGATTATGTAATAGATTTAATGGATACCTAACACGACGTGAGAGGGAGTGAGTGAGTGATGTAAAGGTAATAACGATTGTATAGGTTTTGGGCAATGGATGCTCTGTTGCACTCATTCAGTGTTTAGTGAGTGTTTGGGTATTTGTATTGTTTGAATCGTT